TCTATGCAAATGCCCTGCAGTTCCAGCTCCAGCAATACACACACTCCTCCCCAAACCAAACAAAAACAACATGAGATAAAATGAAAAAGAATGAGAGACACTGGAAAACTGGTGAGTGCTAGGACTGGACCAGAAAGGAAGGAAGAGCTCAGGGCAGGATGGGGACACAGAGGTCACGAGGGGCCCACTGCCTCTTCATGGGGCGTGAGGCCTCTGCGCCCCGTAGGCAGAGGGCTGGGGTGCTGGTCCTTAACCATTCTTCCCGGTGCAGGCTGTGAAATGCCGTTGGGCTCTCTGCCCACTCTTGGTGCGGGCGGCAGGCACTGGCCCTGCTGCCGGAGCCAGGGGACAATGAATTCCGAAGCTCGAGAAACTTTGGCAAGCATCGCCTGCCACTCACTGGCTGAGCCTTTGTCCAGATTCCTCTGTTTGGGAAATTGAAGTGGCGCAGCCTTTTAAATGTGCTCCTAATCCCTGGATAACAAATGACCTTTGTCCTCCTTCAGTTACTATGAAGAATCTTCTGGTGTTTGTGGCTAATTCCTCAATGGCAGAATCCCAAAGAAGGGGCCAGGAGGGGTGGATGTCTAGGGGATTTAGGGAAAAAATAAACATGGGAGGAGAGATGGGGGGGGCACAGGGAGGCTTTGGGGCTAAGAAGGTGGTTCAGTGGTAGAGTGCTTGCCTAGCATGCATGAAGCCCTGGGTTCAATTTCTCAGTACCACATAAACAGAAAAAGCCAGAAGTGGCACTGTGGCTCGAACTGGTACAGCACTAGCCTTGAGTGAAAGAGCTCAGGGATAGCACACAGGTCCTGGGCTCAAGCCCCATGACTGGAGAAAGAAAGAAAGAAAGAAAGAAAGAAAGAAAGAAAGAAAGAAAGAAAGAAAGAGAGGGAGGGAGGGAGGGAGGGAGGGAGGGAGGGAGGGAGGGAGGGAGGGAAGGAAGGAAGGAAGGAAGGAAAGAAAGAAAGAAAGAATGAATGAATGAATTAGCATCTTGCTGGGTGCTAGTGGATCATGTCTGTTATCCTAGCTACTCAGGAAGCTATCTGAGGATCATGGTTCAAAGCCAGCCCTGGCAGGAAAATCTTATCTCCAATTAACTGGAAATGGTACTGTGGCTCAAAGTGGTAGAGTGCTAGACTTGAGTGAAAAAGATCAGGGACAACGTCCAGGTCCAGAGTTCAAGCCCCATAACCAGCAGGAAAAAAATCGATGTCTAAAAAGAAAAAAGGTTGATGGTGTAGTTCAGTTGGTGGAGCACTATAGCCAGTGGGTGAAATTATCAGGTACTGAGTTCGAATCCTGATCTCAAACAAACAAACAAAAAGAGAATTATCATCTGATGTCCACATCAAGCCCTTCTCACCCGTGGTGACTTCTACACTCCTAAGGAAGGAAGGAGACAGATGTATGGGGCACCCTGAGATCCCATGGGAACCCTTGACAAAGGTGAAGGCCATGGCCCCGTCCCTAGAGCCTGCTATAATTGGTGCAGGGGATGGGGGTGGGAGGGGCTCAGCACTGGGAGATGTTCAGAGCCACTATCCTCAGAGGAGAGCGAAATTAATGAGCAGCTGCCACAAAGTCGCTCAGGGCCACAGGGCGGGGCTGTGGGCTCTGCCAAGGAGAAAAACGGGGTGAAGGAACCATATTCATGCTTTGCTTTTTGTTGATTTATTCACTGTGCAGCATCTTCTCCCAGAACCCACAGGAAGAAACACACTTCCTATCCTGGCCCAGTATCTGTGGGCAAATACAGGTGTCTGCAGTAGCCACTTACTATATACAGGTTTCCTCTTGTTTACTTTAAATCCACTTAGGGTTATTTGCATACCTAACTCTGAGCAGAGGGTGACAGATGAAAACAGCTGTCAGTGTATTTCTTAGAGACTCATGACCAGAAAATAAAAAGGTCTGTACTTGTTGGGTACAGATGAAATCCTGCTCCCCCAATTACTTTCATTCTGAGATTGAGGGTGTACAACTGTCCATATAGAGGCCCAATTCACTTGACATTCTCTGTTCTAGCTTGTTCCATGCTAATCCTACAGGAAAAAAGCAGAGGCTCAGAGGCCAAGACAAACAAGGCACTGGAAGGACAGGCAGCCAGCAGGTTTGGGATGCATGGAGTCCCTCAGCAGATGCTCCAGCCGGACACTGGCGCTTACACCTATAATCCTAGCTACTCAGGAAGCTGAGATCTGAGATGGAGAATCAAAGCCAATCCTGGCAGGAAAGTCTGTGAGACTTGACTCAAATTCACCACTAAAAAGCCAGAAGTGGAGCTTGTGGCTCAATGGTAGAGTGGCAGCATTGAGGCTGGCCCCGAGTTCAAACCCAGGATGTGAAGGTGTGCGTGCAGGGAGATTAGCTGAGCACAAACACAAACCCAGGCTCTGTCACTATCCTAATGCCAGCGAGGCCTGCGATGTCTGCTTTAGAGAGGAGAAAATCAAGGCCTCTGTACTCTGTGTCTAGAAGGTAGATATGTTGTCTCCCTCCCCATCCCTGTGCCCCAAGTCTCACCTTTACACTGCTTCTGGGAAGACCTCCATGTTGCTGATTGGTCCAGGCTGGGGAGAAGAAAGGGTGGAGAAAACTAGAAGCTGACGTGGGGCCAGGCCTTCTGGTCACCAATACAATACAGTTTGGGAACTCTATTTAAGAGTATAAAATTATCACAAGTCTAAAGTTTTACGATGTGTGTGTGTGTGTGTGTGTGTGTGTGTGTGTGTGTGTGTGTGTGTGCCACTATTGAATTTGAATTTAGGGCCTCCGGCTCTCGCGTGGCTTTTCTGCTCATGGCTGGTGTTCGGCCACTTGAGTCATGCCTCCAGTTCCAGCTTTTTTGTTGGCTACACGGAGATTCATATTTTTCTATTCAAGCTGGTTTGGAACCTCGAGCCTCAATCTCAGCCTCCTGAGTAGTTTGGATTACAGATATGGATTTTTAAGAAGTTGAACACCTTGACAATAAAATTAAACTTAACAAAGGAATAAGTTGAACCATTTTGTGAGCCTCACAAAATTCCCAACTCATTTTTTCCCCAATTGAGTTGTCAAACTGGCCAGTGTGCCCCCCCTCCCCCATCCCACTTCAGGTCCAGTGTGGGGACTATGCATAGGCCAGCTGGTGTCGAAAGCAGAGGACTCTTCTAAGTTTCACACAGATAATTGGCCATCAGAACCATTTCTGCTTTTCTGTTAAGGTCTTAGAAATGGACTCAATGCCAGGTGTGGTGTGACATGCCTGTAATCCCAGCACTGGAGTCTGAGGCTCTTGAATTCAAGGTCAACCTGAGCTATGTAGTGAAACTCTGCCGCAAAAAAACCACCAAGGGGGCTGGGAAGGTGGCTCAGTGGTAGAGCGCTTGCCTTGCATGCCTGAGGCCCTGGGTTCAATTCCTCAGCACCACATAAGCAAAAAGAAAAAAGCCGGAAGTGGCACTGTGGCTCAAGTGGTAGAGCGCTAGCCTTGAGCTGAAAGGCTGAGGGACAGCGCCCAGGCCCAGAGTTCAGGCCCCACGACCGGACCCTCCCCCCCAAAAAAACCACCAAGGACTCGGATTGTGGCTCCATGGCAGGGCACTTGCCTAATATGCACAAGGCCATAGGTTGCACCAATGGCACTGAAAAAATTTTATATATATATATGTTGTATATACATATGAAGGGGCCCAAGGATTCAGGAAGGAGCCCCAGAACTTCCTATCATTAGCACAGCCACCTCCTGCCCTGAGTGATGTTGAATTTGCTCATTGGTCATCTCTTTGGGGGATGAAGGAGATGAGGAAGTCCGGCCGCAGGGCTCCGCTGCGGTTCCCAGCCTTAGCAGATGAAGATGGAGGACACCTGGTGAAACCAAGTGATAACCTTCAGCACTAGCCTGCTGTGCTTCCCACAGGCACGGGCACAGGATACTGCAACCGCCTCTCTTTCCCCGAACTCACATTTGCCTGGGTCAGCAGTGGCTACTGTTTTGGGAGTGGAGCTCATACACATTCAAGAGTGTGGAGGGAAAGCCAAGGGAGGTGGCTGATGCCCAGAAGCCCAGTTATTTGGGAGGTAGAGATGAGGAGGATCAAGGCTCCAGGCCAGGGGATAATGAGTTCCCCCATCTCAACAAACAAGTGAAGTATGGTGGTTCAGACTTTGAATCCCAGCTATACAGAGGCCTAAGGAGGCAGTTCATTTTCAAAAAATGGGAAACACTATCTGAAAGTCAAACTGGACTGGGGGTGTGAGGCTTAAGTGGTCCAGGGCTTGGTCTTGACTTGGTCCTGACTCAACCCAAGAAGGGGAGTGGAAAGAGGGAGGGGGAGGGGGAGGGAGAGAGCAAGCCTGCACAGTCTCTGTTGGAGCCAGTTCCTCATGCTGGGGACAGATGGGTATGTGGGGGTGTCTTCATTTGAGCCTGTGCATGGATAAAATTACAGAACTTTCTGGGGGCCGGTGAAGCTCCTGGGACCTCAGTTTCCTAATCTGTAAAATGGGTGAAACCTGGAGAGGCTGGTACTGCCTCTCCAGCCCCAGGTGTGGCCTCCCGCGGCTGGGAGTGCCCCTGCCCTCACACCATATCCTGAAGGCCGTTTGCGAACTCTGGAACGCTGGGCAGGCCCAGGGCACGGTCGGGGGTCGCCCAGGCCGACCCCGCGCGCCGGCTCTCGGTGCTGGCTCCACGGGAGGAATGAATGAATGGGCGGCGGAATGAATGAATGCACGCTGGCGCCATTGGCGAAGCGGCCTCCAATCAGCCCTGCCGGCCTGGCGGGCTGGGCGAGCGCGGCGGCCGGGGAGGCGGCGCGGGGGGCGGAGGCTGGGCTCGCCGCCTCGGGGACCCGGGAGCGAGCGAGCGAGCGCGGCGACTCTGCAGGGCCCGCGCCCCGCGCCGCGTCCCGCCGCCGGCCGTGCGTCCCGGCGTCCCCGGGCGGGGGGGCAGAGCAGGGCCCCGGCCAGGCTCGGAAAAGGGGGCCCGGGAGGAGGCGGCAGCGACG